CACTCAGATGCATCTGATGTCCAGTAAAGTCCAGAGAATACAGTCATGTTCAATGAGCACCAGATTCTGCTGAGGTGCTCTACTGAGAGACTGAAGAACTTGTTTTTCCCCTCATGCCACTATGACACCAAGGACAGCTTCATATTGAAAGATGACAATTAATCTTTCAAGACAGCTATGACTTGAAGCACATAGACCAGAATACGAAGGCTTGACTATAGTTAGCCGTGTGAACTTCAATGAAGGACCCAGCCGGTTCTCATACTTGAATCCAGTTGAACATCTCTGGAAGGACTTATGAATTTCTAACAAGGCTGCCCAACCAACCCGACTGAGCCTGAGTGTATCTGCAAAGCAACATCAGTGGAAGTTTACAAAAGAAATCCGCACTACGTTTCTAGAGACCGACTTAAAAGGATTTGAAACCGTCATCGCAGTCAATGTTATGGTCCTAGGTTATTTATGTTGCATTGTTTTTTTTATGAAAACCTTGTTTATTTATGTTTATATCTTGCCATATTCGATTGTGTTCTCTGTATTCATTATTGTTCAGAAGTTATTGCCGTGCATACACCCATTTGTTGTTTTATCTAATTTCTCAGTTTACTCTTGTGCTTTGTGGTTTTGTATTTTTGTTCTCTTAGTTCAGTGTTGCCTGACTGACTGTATTAATTTATTACTAACAAGTGTTGATCTATTCCAAACACATCACTGTGCAAATTAAACGACAGCAAAAGAGTAATGTGTATAGAAACAATCATTCCAACTTCATGGGCAAGATTTTAAAGGAAAAACCTTTGTATTTCATTCCACAACTAACGCTTAAGTAATAAAAAGCTATTGTAAATAACAAAACCCAGATCAGAGTAGCAGGTAAATTATATTTAGTAAGTACAGCTATCTCAAAATAAACAGACTTTGTTGGAAAAAAAAAAAAATTGCATCTTATCTGTGTCATCACTCTGTAGTCAACAACAGTGGAAAGGTTAAGAATAATGAATTTCTGCTTTTAAATGTCAAACACTAAATTGAACTATTGATATGTCCGCCGCTGGCCAACTGCTCAAACACAATGTGGTTAATAATTCTAAAGGAATCCTCGCTTTGTGCGTCAAAATCCTTCCACTTGCTGCAAAAATTGATTTGGTCATTCAGAGAGAACATTACATTTAGCCATCTTGGATTAACTTGAGTTGTATTTCATTCCACTGCTGACCCAGTTTTCATTCCATGCAAAGAATTTGAGATTCTCAAGGTACTCAAAGCAGGCAGAAAATCTGAAGACGTATCCGTGGAATGTGTGCAAAATTACATTCAGAGCTGACAGTTGGTCCAGTCAAACACTGGCTCCCGTGAAAGTATGACGACGAGTCAGTAAACTAATGGCAGGAAATCTGAGACGCACACATTAAATTTCATCATGACTTGTAAAAAAATCAGTTCTAAAATGATATACTTAACCAGCAGTTTTTGTTTCTTACAATGGGTCTTCATTAGTAGCAATTCGGAGTCATACTCTAAAGTATTTTTTGCATTAAGAAAAACTCTTAGCTAACAATACAGAACTGTGGACTTGGCATATAGATGTATCCTCGCTTTATTATACAAAAATATTATCTCTGAAGAATATACCACTTGGACTTCATGACAGGTGTGTATGCAAGCAAGTGAAGCATGACCCTAAATTCAATAAATAATAATTCAATTTTCTGAATATTATTATAGATGAAAAAACAGCATTCCCTATGTTGCATTATGTTTTTGCTTAAACAGTTTTTCTCTAAACAAATGCCGAGAAGCCCTTTAAGTTTGATACCGTCATTGTTTGGTTATGATTGGACCCAAATACAAACAGGCTGAAGCAGTGAGATGGTGCGTAAAAAATAAGAACTTACAAAACAACAAGGAAAAGGAACAAACTAGACTAGACATGAAGGTATTGAAAGAATCCAGCAGTGAATGAGAGCAGATTTTAAACAAAGTGGTAGTCTCAATATTGCTTTTATTATTATTTTTTTATTTCACCTTCCATCAGCCTGCCAGTATGCTTCTCTTCACAGCTGTTTCCGTTCACTTGATTTTCCTCTGCCCGCATTCTACCTCAGGTGTTGGCCATTTGCCTCTAGTGCATTCAATACGGAAGCGCATTCATAACATAACACGTTTTAACAAGATACGTATCATGTTATAACGTGAGCGCTCAAATTTTTTTTTTTTCCTGCGTGACAGCAATGCGCTTCTGTACATTCACACTGCAGTCTGAGTTCACTTTTATCTGACACTGAACATATTGGCTCATCTTTCTCTTAATCTTTACAGTTAAGGTGAGGTTGTAACAGAAAAGGGAAAACTCATAATGGGCAAAGAGTTAGCTATATGCTAACCCTGCTGAGAACAAATAGATGCTAATGCTAAAAGTAGCTTTAAATATGATCTCATTAATTTTGTCTTCCTTTTGAGTGAATTGCAAAATTATAACTATAAAATTTCTGAAGAAATTTAAACGGTGCCTGCCAAAGTGTGCCCATCGGTTGGAATCCAGTGTTCTGATGCTAAAAATTAGCATCAATGCTAAAGTAACTACAATGTGCTTGACACCATGTGGGGAGTCACAAGCATGTTGAGCAACATGGACTTATGCCATTCAGTATGTTAAAATTGGTGTATAACCTAAAATTAGCCAAAATGCTTATGTTGGCCTAAATGCTGCCAATGTTGTCTTACATTAACTTCCTCCATTTAGTGTGCTAAACATGGCTAATATATATATATATATATATATATATATATATTTAAAATGGCTAAAAAGCTTTTTTTTTAAGGAAAAGGCTAGGGAAAAGATTAATGTTAATGCGCTGCCTTCTGATTTTTACTTTTGCAAAAGTAAAAATCAGATGTTTACTTCGTGGCAATTCGTTACCCGAAAACACTTATCTCTTAGCAACAGATTAACAACAAATGTTCAAAAAACATAAGATTTATTTTGCTCTTTTTAAGTACTACTTGTCTTACACTACTTACTACCTAATAAGAACTGTGCATCTGGGGAATTTGGCAGAAAAATGAACATGTTTTTCTTTCTTTTCTTTTGTCATTGGTAAATATAAACTTTCAACACGAAAGTAAAAATCTGATTCATAGCAAGTAAGTAATCTTATTGTTCATAAGACATAAGCTCTTTTGAAATACTGCTTACTTGCTTAGACACAAGAAATTCATAGTTGGTAAATTTTGCGAAAGTAAAAATCAGATGTCTACTTCGATGGTTGCCAGTAAACGCACTCATCTCTTAGCAACAGGTTAACAACAAATATTGTTATTGTTCAATAAACCTAAGACTTCTTCTGCTCTTTTGAAATACTACTTCTCTTACACTATAATCTACTTAAAAAGAAATGTGCATTTGGTGACAGACTTTCAACACAAATGTAAAAATCTGATTTTTATTTCATTGGTTACCAGAAATCGCGCTCATTTCTTAGCAACAAATTAACAACAAATATTGTTATTGTTCAAAAACATGCTCTTCTGCTCTTTTGAAATACTACTTCTCTTGTACTACTTAACAAGAATTGTGCATTTGGTGAAGTTTTCAGAAAAGTGAAAGGTTTTTTTTGTTTTTGTCATTGGTGGTAAGTATGTTGTAAAACAGACGTTCGACACAAAAGTAAAAATCTGATGTTTACTTTGTGGCACTTGGTTACCAGAAAACACGCTCATCTCTTAGCAACAGATTAACAACAAATGTTATTGTTCAAAAAACATAATATTCCTGCTTTTGAAATGCTACTTATCTATTACTACTTAACAAGAACTGTGCATTTGGTGAATTTGGCAGAAAAGTGAAAATGTCCTTTTTTGTCATTGTTGGTAAATATGTTATTAAACAGACATTCCACACAAAAGTAAAAATCTTATCTTCATGGTACTCATCTTTTAGCAACAGATTAAGAACAAATAATAATAGCCTTAGGCGGTGCACTAAACTGAGAGGAGTATTGAGGCTTTTATTTTGAAATTGTCAGCTTCATTTTAAGTCGATTGGAAATTTTGCTCAATTTTTTGTTAATTGCGTCGCCATTTATATATTTGTTCTCCTTTTAAACATGCTAATGTGTTTGTTTCTCAGAGTTGGGTACAGTACCTAAAAATTGTACCAAAGTAGGGATTGCACCACTTGTACACCAGCAGTAAAAAGTAACAGTCCAACAAATTACTCGAAAGCAAAAAAAAAAAAAAAAAAAATTTAATAAAGGGAAATTCAAGTATGTGTAACTGATCAGATCATCTGATTTAGTATTTAAAAGCAAAAAAAAATAACTTATACAGTCTGTCATGGGAATGACAAGTAGTACAGCAAATTGACATTAAAATAAAGTTTGTGGAGAAACAAGAGCTAACCACTTTAGCTTAAAGTCGGTTGCTGTGTCTGTATCTCCACCATTTGTGTTTTTGCTTCAGTTAATGAAGATACTATTGGCAGAACTAGAACTTTCACTTGAGTAGTGATACTTTATAAAAGTACAAAAGGAAAAGTAAAAAGTACTGTGCAGTAAAACTACTCCGAAAAGTTTTTTTTGTTGTTGTTTTATCCCCCATAAAGTGAATCAAGTAAATGTAAATTACTAGTTACTTTATTTGTTACTACCCACTTATGATTTCAAATGAAAAGTCATAATTCGCTGAGCTTTTGTCCAGGTCAGAGCTTCACAAATGAACTTCTGGCAAAACCGGTGGTCTGTGAGCTTCGATGCAAAATGGAGCTCGCTTAATCATACTGGACAACCAAATTTGCTTGTAATTATGTTTATTTAGGTATAAAAAGCCCTTTTAGTAACAGAAGTTACATTTTGGAGTGTCAGGTACAATAATTAATGAATGGGGATAGTAGTTAATCCCACCCCCTTCTGCAGAATATCTTTCAAAGACAGCCTTAAACGTTGATGGTTATTTTAGGACCTTCTCAAAGGCAAGTGTAGCGGTTAAATTGGGCATGTTGTGGAAACCGCCAGGTGCCCTCCTCCAGCCGGCCATCCAGCGGCTCGTCTGAGCAGTGCAGCTCAGAGCGCAGCAGCATCCCGCGGCTCCGCTCCGATCCGCTCGCCTCTTCCTCTCCCTTTTCTTCCTCCAGCAGCCTCCACGTCTGTTTGAATGTGTGCAGCTCGGGATGCGACAGCATTCTGGCTGCTGCGTTTCCACAGGAAAAAAATAGAAACAAACTAAGAAAAAGAAAAAGAAAAGGAAAGGGGGGGAAAAGGCTCAGCTCTCTGTGTTTTCCGTCCGTCTTTTTGCTGCTCTTACTGTCTTTTGCCGACAGTGATAAAGAGAGCAGGTACACCTATTTGTCTATTTTGCCAATTTCTCACGAGTCGCGTTTTTTTTTTCTCTCCCCCCTTTCATCACAGATGTTATGTCAACACTTTTTGGGTGGTGTGGGGTGGGGAAAGAGGAGGGGATGGGTTGGACTCTCGGTTCTAACGGAATTCTTGTGGGCTCTTTTGGTGTCTTATCTCTCTTTCAGTAAAAATCGCGGGTCCCTGTTTTTATTGTTTTTGGAATAAGAACATAAGCTTTGCTGTTTTCTGACTTTGAGACAGAAGAGAGGAGAGACTCCTTAGGAATTTCCCAAGGAATTTATCCGGACGGCTCCGGTGAGTACATCTTCTCATATACATACGCTCTGTAAAACAAAAGCACGCAAAAAATGAGTACAATAATGAAACAATGCGCATTTGTTTTTGCGTTCTGTTTTAATTACAGTCACCGGAGCTTTATGTTCTCCTGCCTGGGTGCATAGTAAGTAACAGCTACTTTTTTCCCCTCTAAATGGCTCCCGGTTAATGAGAGGAGCAGTTGTGCATTTGTTTGGATGTAGATTTTATTTAACAATGCTGCATTCCGGATGGGGTCGAGACATTTTCAGCATTATGGTCAAGTAATTAGTGCAAGCACTGTTTTTGCTCCGTAGTTCTTTTTTTTTTTTCCTCCCTCAAACAGTCAGAGAAGACGTAGAAATGGCTGGAACTGCTGTTGTTGGGAAAGTTTGTTTAATTTTCCACGGATGGTTGTTGCTGTGTGAGTGGTCTGAGAAAATAAGTCCTAACTCAGGTAATACATACTGTGGGTGGGCTGTGACTCACCCAGTTTACTTATTTTTCCACCCCCCGCTCTTAACTGTCAGGTATTGATGCCAGTTTTGACTGACTGACAGCGGATCATGCGCACTAGGTGCTACCACAAGCCCGCTTTTTTTTCTTCTTCTTTGTAGTTAGTCTATAATTAGACACTCAGCTGCTAATTTATTCAACCTGCTTTCTTCTGCTTTAGATGTACTGGTTTAGATCTTTTAAAAGTGTTTATTGGTAATTGTTCTCTTACCTGCATTAGAGAAACAATGACGGTAGTTGAAGACGAAGAGCCTGAGAGAATAGAGTGTCTGGTTCTATTCTTAAGGAGCTGGTGTCCTGCATGTTTTAAAATTCTCCCCTGGTACAGAAAATCTGAATGAAATTAAAGGTTAATTAACAGAATTCTGCAGAAACTTAATGACACACTGAGGAGTTAATTCAGTCATTCATCTGGGTGTGCTGAGGTAGGAATTCATCTGAAACATGCCAGACTGGAGCTGGACACCCCTGAGCTAATCAGAGGTACAGCCTCTGTTTTAGCTGGTTTCCTCTTCCTCAACTTAAAGCGGCTGAAAATGTTTGACACAGCTGTACTTTTAAGGAAGCATTTTTTGTTGTTGTTGTTCTAAAATGTGTCTAAATATGTAAGTGGCTCATGTAGGGTGGAGTTTGAATGTATTTGGTGTAAAAGTAGAAGTTCTTGTAGACGTGAATAGGATTGGGGATGTTTTCCCGCAGTCTAAATGTGGACTTGGTAGATAAAATCAACGAGCGTAAAAATCCGAAAGCATCAATACAGCCAGACTTGAGCTCCAGATCTTTTTATTACCCGTACACTTTCCATATGCGTCATGTGTATGAGTCACAGTTTTATCGTCGTTCTCCTATTTCCTATTTCCCAAATTAAGCTCTTTACTTTTTCATTTATTTATATTTTAATCTGCCCGGGGAATAGTCCGTCTGCTTTCTTATGAGAAGTACGGTGAATTAACGGGATCAGGTGCTGCCATTGTATAAAACTGTACTGGTTCGAGTTGGAAATTATTATTCGTGCTGAACAATGCCACTTTGATGTTCTGAAACTTGGTCTCTAGTGATCCAGAAAGCAACAATGTTGATGCCCACCCTAAATAACTGCAATGTTTAATGACGTCCAAGATATCGATGAGTTTCCAACAGTAAAACACAAATATGTAAGAATTTTGTCACTTAATTTTTCAGTTGGCTCTGAAACGAACAAAAACACCACCTATTTCTGCACATTGATATTAATGCAGTAATATCACAACTGACAAGATAATAATTACTCTAGTAATCAAATTCAGCTGTGAGTTTTGCTTCAGGACCGCAAGACACAGATTTTCACATATTTGAATATCCTAAATGTCCACCGTTAGATTCCATTTAGACAAAGTAGTTTTGCTTTATCTAAACTTGGATAACATATGTAAATCTGGGTTATTTTTAGATATAACATTACGTCATGTTTAACTTTTTGTAGCCTCTGTTAAAAACAGGTCTGATTCACAATGAGACGTCATGGAAAGTGTCATGATGGATTTGTATAACGGAGAAGAAAATGTTAAAGTAGTGGAAGGCGGTCTGCTAGTTAGATGTGTGTCGCCTTTAGATTTCCAATCAGTTGACCAGTAAATGCTGTTTACCAGTCTGTTGTGAAAGTGTCATCTGTCCGAAAAAAAAAGCCATGCATTTCAGCTTTGAAAACTTTGAGTTTTAAATGGCTAATGTAACTAAAAAGGCGCTATCCATCGGGCTACCATACCTTAGCTGCTTCTTAAGGATTGCTTGTGATTTCACCTCACACCACTGGGAGTCTTTATCCCATTGATACCGATTGGTAAAAAACTCCACACATGCCAAGGATTACATTGAGAGTATTGGCAGAAACGCCCAAATTAAATGCCTTACGCATGTGCTAAATTCAAATCTAGTTCATTTGCATCTGCCTGACAGTATATATATATATATATATATATATATATACACTTTTTTTATATAATATTTTTTAGTATATATTTTTTTTCTTTTTACATCATTTTAAGTGAATTTAGAGCAACAAAGGGTTACAGAGTCTATCAGCCTATACTGCTGAGGAGTGATTCATATGTAGCCAATTACCCATGATTTGCAGTCATACTTTGCTTCTGAGAAAGCAAAAAAAAAAAAAAAAAGCCCTTCCTAAAAGGCGAGATAATGAACTGAAAAGTTTGTGTGGTTCAGTGTTTTTGTGGCAAGCTGAGCTGAAGAGCAGCAATTGCAAATGAGGTCCAAGGGCAGCACACTCACAGCCAGACAGATGCGTCTTCCCTGGCCAGTGTAGAGTGACAGAGGGCTAAGTGAGCATGACCATCGAGGAGAGGTAATGGCATTACAGTCTGCCAGTCAGGAGGCGTGCGAGAGATGGGCTACTGTTGCATTTCTAAAGGAATTAAACGACAACACAGGAAACAGATATGAGGACACATGCTTGGTTGGTTTTAGATTTGAAAAATGTTGCTTTGGTGTCTGTGGTCAGCACTACAGATGTGTCTCTGTCTGCCATAAAACACTTTGATTACGCATTATGAATAAACGGTTAATTTTTCAACGCATCGTTGCCAAATCGAACCACGGCAGATGGAAGCCCCAACAGTTTCCTCTTTTTGCATGGTAGCTGACAAAAATACTGGAAGACTGCAGTTTTTCAGGTCAGGTATCCTCGGGTTTAAGGGCACATAGCAATTTAGTGGTGCTCAATGAACCTGCTTCATAGCTTTCCAGCTCTGTTCACAGTGAACAACATTTTCTGAGAACATTCTGTCATTTCATTTGTTCAAATCTCCAAAAAAAAAAAAAAAGAAAAAAAAATTAAAATTCAGTGAATCCACTTCTGGTACCAGTGGGACCTTGAGCTGAAGCTGCGAGATGATCTGGTTGTTCTGGGGTTGACAGAATGCAGAGTTAACTATGCTTTACAAATGTAACTCATGTGACATAATCCAAGCAACTGCTGAAGTAGAAATGGGACTGTCCCAACACCTGATCAGTTTGTTTTTCATTTATTTATTTTATTTTTAGAAGTGCACCAATCAAGCTTTTACTGCCCTGTTCTCATTTTCCACAGTGATCTGACTGACTTCGATTTTAACCATTACATATTTTCCAGATTTCCAAATGTGACCATTCTGTCTCCTTGATGGTAGAAAATAAGGAAATTACAAAGAAAAATCCTCATTAATCCACCAAAACGTATGTCCATGACTGCATTTAATTAATAGGAAAAAAGAATTATTCTGTAAATGACCTACCAATCACAGAGCAGAGTCCATCGATGATGCTAATTCCCAAAACTTTTCAGGCTATTTTTTTCCTGTACATAGTCAAATTTGACAGTTTGAGGTTGATTTATTTCATTTCTATGTTCTTGAGAAACATGTAAAAACTGCCCAGTCAAGTGCAAAAATGAAAAAAAAAAAAAAAAAGGTGAATGCACTTAATCTTCAAGAAAAGTATTGGCTTGTCATCCCTTTGTTTGTGATAAAAAGAGCATCTTGATTGCGGTCCAGGGCTCAGAAAGCCGAGTCGCCCACTCCCATGGGCCGCTTTATAATGAGGATACGCTGTCAGATAATTAGATACACCTGGCTCAGGCGTTTTCAGGAAATTTTTGATTCATCCAAAAATAAAATGCCTGTGCCTGCCAACATGAAAGCAGGGGGGGGGAGGAAATCTCCCGCTGTCACATCGCCTCCCCGCTCACAGAGGCAATGTTTTATTTAGTTATCCACATCTTAGCGTGCTCTTGGATAAGGCGAGGCTTCATTTTGTAATAGCTAGAGGATTTGGTGCCAAAGTTTTTCGTCTCTCTTGCAGAGCTCTCTCAGAAGGGCGCCGTTGTCCCTCTGTGGACACAGTCCCTAAAACTGAATGTTCTGGTGGTGCTAAATATACCAGCTCTTCCTGGCTGCCCAACACAAGATTCATCTCACATTTCTCATCCGAAGACAGTTGCATGACAAAATAAATCCAGCTCCAAATAGATGTGGGTAAACAAGCATGTCGGACGGCTTCAGAGAGTGCTGCTTGCACACAGGTGTGTAGACGGGAAGAGGTCCACATCAGAGGTGGATTTTCGTGCAATGATATGCTAGCTGTCCCTTCTTTCCTCATGTAACATTTTAAATACTGACACACAATGCTGCTGGAAGGTCACAATTGAGCAGACATTTCCTTCACAGGAAATCCTTCACAGGTACGCAGTGAGCTCTAAATGCCTTACTGAATTCCATGCAGCACACAAACACAAAAAGCCATTTCACAAGCTGCTTTACTCAAACACAAACTTAAAAATGTTCCGCTTTTGGTGTTTACTAATAGATCTTCAAAATTCCTTTTCTTATGCTTGATTAGACCAATGACTTGGTTATACAATAAACACTATTTGGGTTAGTTAAAGAACAGCAAGAAGCCATCATTGTCGCTTGTACAGACTTAAGGCAGATGACCTCGTGGGAACAAGTTATAAAATACTCATGGAGGCTAATCATGTTGGGGCTCTATGGGCCTTCCAATCTAAAACTTGGAAATCATCACCAAAGATTGGTGTTTTTCTATTTCGTGCTTTTACAGTTTTGGTTGGTTTGTACCGAACATTTTCTTGCACTAGAT